TCGTAATTGATGAGAATAATTATGTGGTGATTTTTTGATTGGTGACATACAATTTTTTTTTATTTTTTGGATTATTTACAATGTTGTATTATGTTGGGCTTGGGTGGAGGGTGAAAGCGGGGACGGGGATTACAAATTTACCTGCGAACGGGGGATGAGGATGAAAATTATGGGTTGGACAGGAGACAAATGATGTTTTTTAAAGCGGGTAAGGGGATGAAAATTATACCCCCCTCCCTCCCTCGCTTCCACTTCGGTTCACTGTCATCTCTAACCGTCAGTTTGTCGTTTAAAATTAAATGGATAAATTAGACCTACACTTAATCATTTAGACTCCCTCACATTTAGAATATTATTCCTACGCCTCCTGATGTTTGTACACGTGTAACACATAACCTTTTGTCGTTGATTTTTGTTAATATAACTGTTAAAAAATATGATTTCATCATAATAAAAAATTATAATTTTTATAGTAAATTTTATTTTGTGGGCTCGTTAAACTCTAAAATTCAAAATTACTATTTGAATGAACAATATAATGCAGGTATTTATATAATATTCTTTATATCAAATGCAATACATCACTTGAGCAGAATTATTTAAATGCGCAATTGAGGAACATTTTTAGTCATATTTGGATTTTTAAGGAATGTATGTATAATATTTCAAATGTAAGGGATTTAGGTAATTAAGTGACAAGCAAGTGAGAGTCTAGGTGAAATTTATCCGTTTAGTTTTAGACGACAACCTGATGACTGCTAATTTGAAGCGCGCATTGATACAAATTTATATTTTTGAGGGTTTAAATTAAAAATTTTAATTTTTTAGGGTGTAAATTAAAATTTAAACGATCTTTCGAGGTACAATTTTTAACCAAAAAAAAATGATAATCCTTGGGCGTTGCATAACTCGAACCATGCTTCTTGGTTAATCTAATGAGCTTGTAAATTGTAATAGAACAAAATGGCAGCCATCAATTTTGAGCTCCTAATCCCTTTCCGCCTTCTCCTCCCATAAGGCATGGTGATTGACAAAAAAAAAAAAAAAACAAAAAAAGAGGCTATATGAAAACATATCAAGGATATTTTGATTGATTAGCACAAATTGTTATAATTTAAAGATTTGCTCATGAATTGTTTAGAAAAATGGCCTAATCCTCATTGTAACCGTTGTTCGATTCTTCGTGAATAATTTAAATGGAAGTGTTCTAATGATTTGGTACTTCGAAATTATGAACTCAAGTTAATTCGATATGTACAATTTTTTATTAACTATGTGTCTAAGATTTTGTGTATGATAAATATACGAGTGTCTCTGATAAATTAAAACCCGACATATGATAAATAGACGATGCAGAAATTAAAAATTATTGCTTCATTCCACTTTTTGTATTGATGGTCCATTTATCCATAATCAGTCAAATAAAAAGTGCCTCTATTAACCCTTTTAAGACATGGACCACTTGGTATGAAAAATTATTTGTTTTTGATTGAGGATTGACTTAACCATCCATAAGCTTATTGGAAGAACTTGATTGGACCAGAATTTCACTTTTCCAAACCATTACTTATTCTTTCCGTCAATGATGTGGTTAAGCAAATCTCAGGATTTGACTTTTGTGACCCTGTGGGCCTAACCATTACTAATTTTGATCTACCAACACAAAAGCTACTTTGTGGTTCTAAAGCCCAGTTTTGTTGGTTTTGGCTGAAATGTCCAAGTCTTGGGACACTATTATGCAATGCCTCATATCATCTCAGGTTCATATTAATTTTTATTTTGTTCAAATTATATTCAATCAATTATAATCGTACATGGTTGGATCTGCAATATATCAAGTTCATATTATGTATAACTGAGTTTGTGTCGATATATTTACTAAATTATAATTATTATATTGTATCCATATCTATATTACTTATAAATGTCAGCATTTACGAAAATCTTTTGATTTATTATTTTATCCTTAATTATCATAATAAAGTCAAATATACCCACATTTATACTTTCATCTAATTTTTATTTTTTTACTCATATTTAACTTTCAACTGTTTTGGACTATTTTATAAGGATTTTTATTTTTTTTCGAACTCATTTATTAGTAATATAATTACATACAATTTTTTATATCTATATGAAATAAAGTCCTATACATCTTAAATTATTATACACATATAGTTATCATATTGAATTTTACGGTCAAATATATGTTATATTTTATTTTTCTATATACAATAATATAATAATATTATACATGATCTAATAAATCTATTTAACAAAATAAAATTTTATAATATAATTAGATGTGCAAATAGTTCAAAGCGTTAGAGATATACCTAAATAATTGACAGATTAAATACTCAAAGACTTATATAATAAATTAAAGATAAATAAATATTATTTAAATTTATTTACGTGCAACGCATGTCGTGTATTGCTAATATATATATAAATATAAATTATAAATATCAGCCTATGCGAAATTTTTTTGATTTACTTTTGATTTACTATTTTATCCCTAATTATTATAGTAAAGTCAATTATACCCACATATATACTTTTATTTAATTTATGCTTTTTATACCTATTTGACATTCAATTTATTTTGAACTCTTTTATAAGGATTTATAAATTTTTTTGAACTCATTTATTAGTAGTATAGTTACTTATAATTATCTCTATCTATATGAAGAAGTAAAATTCTGTATATGTTAAATTATTATGCACATATAGCTATTAGATTGAATTCTATGGTCCAATATATATTATATTTTATTTTTTGATATATAATAATATTATAAATAATCTAATCAATCTACTTAACAAAATAAAAATTAATAATTGTATAATATAATTAGAAGTGCAGATGCCTTAAAGTTTCGAAGAGATATCTAAACAATGAAAAATTAGGTATTTAAAAACTTACAGAATAAATCAATAGTTAAATTTAGAAATAATTAATTATTTGACAAATAATTAATTATTTAATTTAATTACACATATAATTTATATTTTTTATAAAAATAATATTATTTAAATTTATTTACGTGCAACGCACGACGTGCATTGCTAGTTTACCAAATGGTTAATCAAATCTTAGAATGCTTTAAAAGTAAACTTGTGTAAAATAAATCTAATTATAATTTCATATCGGATAACATGCGCATTGAGAATGGTCAACTTTACACTCCAACATGCATCATTACAATTTTGTAAAATGGTTTGAACAATCATGAGGTAGTAGGTTGGAATTAAAGACATTCACTGCTTATGCCCAATCTAATTGTTTCAGTATCATTGCGTAATAGAAATTAACCTGGGTAATCATCATTTTTAACAATCAAAATCCCTCGTTGATACTAGGGGATTGGGGGTTTATCAAACAGCCCAGACATCAATCCTTTTTTTTTTTAAACAGCAAACAGCAAATTCAATCCTTTTTTTTTTTTTTAAATGGAGATTCATCCCCAACAAGCAACTTCAAAGTTATTACTATAAGTCAAACTTTGAAACAGGTCTGACCTAGGAACTTGATTAGTAATGTTTGAAGTCTTCCAAATCGAACTACATAGATGGATTGAAATCAAAATATTTAATCTAACAGAGGTTTGGTTTTATCTAGGTGTTAAAGAGGTGAACCCAATAGACCTCCGGCTCAATCTTGGGGTTTTTTTTTTTTTTTTTTTCTGAGTTCAGGGGAGAGGAGGCAAAAGACAAAAAATAATATTGAATTGTTTAAGATTTTGTACTTTATCAATTTTGCAGTTTCCATAAATTAGTAGTGAACTTACAATGTGAAATCAATTCCAATTTCCAAAGTATGTTGAAGGATATCTCTAATTGTTAGTGGCCCATTAGTAATCTGGATAGATCCAGAAACCGTGCTTATACAGTTGGGCTCAAGTCATGTAGGTCGAAGTTAGGCAATTTGAAGAAAATCTGAGCCCAACCACATAAATCAGTGTTGAAATTCAATCATTGGGTTTCATTAGCTTTGTGTGAGCTCATAAAAACCTACTAGTAGGATCTAATACATTTAATGTGAAACGATTAAAATTGATCAAAATTGACAATGTTAAGAGGATCCAATACTATCGAATTGGGACTATACTCCCTAAATAGCAATGGATCAAGGATCTAAGACCCATATTTTTTGTAACATTGTTATTCCATTTCTTCAAATAGTATATCATCTGTTATAAAATGTTTAACCACTTTTAGTAGCAAGCAATTGTTTTAAAGGAGATCATATGAGTGACTAAGTCGATATGGAACCTTAATTTCTTTCATATTGTTCGTAACCATTACAGATCAGGACATAATAATACTAAAACACATTCATATTACGTTTTCACTCTGTCGAGTTGTGATTGTATCTTAGTCCATGTAAGTTGTCATCCTTCCACAATAGGTCATGGCCATTTGGTAAGGATTAAGGGAATGATATGGGATGTGTATCATAGAATTTCTCTTTTTAAAATGTGGCCCAAAAGATTAATAGTAACAAGTGATTTGAAACAGCGAAGGTCAACTAACTTGTATCACATGGTATAAACATGCAATTGTTATGTTAAAAAACAACCTAAGTTGTTAGACCGATACTTCTTATTACTGCACAATGGACTCTTTTTTACAACTAAAAATCAAATTAGAATGAGGAAGAAAAATGTGATCTAAGTCCATTATTCCTTGCATTATAGGAAAGGCAGAGCAATTTCTTTTAAGAATGCAATTGGTTCCATCTTTCTTTCATTAGTTAACCTCCCTTTTCTAAAAAGGATTGTAGTAATTCTGATTTTATACTACTTGGAATGATTCTCTCATATTGAGAAATTCTATCTAGTGGCATTAAATCACAAAATCTATTGACAGCTGCATAAATGACTATAATTTGTTTTCCATTTGAAAGTGGTGCACATTGTGGTTGTTTCGGTACTTCTGTAAACTGTGCACCTCTATTGAGTAATGCGCTGAGTTGCAGCATCAAGGTCTGATCCAAATTAAGCAAAGGCAGCCGCTTTGCAATATTTTGCCAATTTTAGTTTTGAACTACCGCAAACTTGTTTCATAGCTTTCAATTGAGCGGCAGACCCAACGTAATTGACAGATATGCAGACGTTAATAGCAGGTCTAATTGCGCGATCAACGAGCTTAGTTTCTAAACAGATTTGTTCATCAGTAATGGAGATCACATTGGTGGAAATATAGGCCGATACGTCTCCAGCTTGTGTTTCAATGACAAGTAAGGCGGTCAAACTACCTGTACTTGTTTGATCCGATCGTTTAGCTGCTCTTTCTAAGAGACGGAGGAAACTTGATCACAAGTGAGCATAACTTTTTTCCTACACTCTTTATGGCAGAGGCAAATAAAAATTATTTTTATTACATAATCTTGGCCAAGGGTGTAGATACCAACCATTGAGTACCTCACTAGTCATGTGTCAGTGATATGAATTCTAGTTTGAGGGTTCAGGTATTGGTACCACCACCAAAGAAAAAATAACTAAGGGTTTAGATGAGTCAAGTCGATCAAGCCTTTGGTCACTCGAGCATTTTGAAATTTAATCAAGTTTTAGATAAAATTGCAACTTGATCTATATATTCTTTGAACCAATGTCAAACAAACCTTAGTTGAGCCAATCTCGAAGAGATTTTTTTTCCCTTCATTTTTGGGGGTGATGAAAGGCATATCATAACTTGCTAATTAAATATTACATAAGTCTTTGGTACATAACACCTGTAATATCAGCCTTAAGTTGGTTCATAATAAAGTCCATAGGAAACGTAAGATTTTCATGGGCATGAATTCCTTCTTTGCTAATTTATTTGTAAATACTGTTACTTAGACATAATTTATTGACTTAATTCATTACAACCATTAGATTAGTAATAAGTTTCAATATTAAATGTGATTTATTGTCAATTCAAAACTTCGTTTATAGTAGATTAAGTCAACAATAAATGCTAATAACTTACATACAAATAGCATTATTCATATATTCACACTGAGGTTTGTTCTCTCGCCTCCTGTTTGACTTGTACCTCTTAGAAAACCTTCATAAGCCATCTGCAATCATTAAATACTTGGATGTGAATGTGATATGTTGTGTGGGGGTTGTTATGGATGCCCACCATCAATTGGGCATCCAGATTTATCTCTAGTTTCTAAGAACCCACTTGAGGGGGCTAATTGTAGGTCCTGTCTGGGAGCTCATACTTCTGCTGCGAGGCTGAAGAGGTACCCTTGCTTGCCTAGACTCCAAATAACAAATGCCCCATACAATGCCTACATAAATAACTTGCCTCCTTTTCTTGGGTTGCACCATTCATATTTTGCTTAAACCATCCTTGTAAATTGCTCAGATTTCAAGGTGCTGGTGTACCGTGGCGTCAAATAAACGAATCAATATGAAATCCGTCTAAAAATAATATAAGCATTATAAACACTGCTTATACACAAAACAATATGTCATTAATCTAGTTATACACAACGTGACATTAGTGAACCTCTTAACATTTTACACAAAAATTTATGTAGAAATGTCAAATAAACTACAAAACAGGTCCAAACAAGGCCAATTCTATGTTGTTTGGTTTCTTTCTTTGGTTTGTGTTTCTTTGTTTTTACTTGTTTTGTTTTGCCTTCCCAAAACCCCATAAGCTTGAAACTTAGATAAAAGCATTGTAGTGGCATCCATTTTATCCTTTTCAGCACTCGTTACAGCCATAAGAATAAAAATTTGGGTGACAATTATCAATATCATAGGAGTTGCCTATCTAATTGATGGGAAATGTCACTTTCCTGACCATTCTCTTAGTGGCGAGGGAATAGTACGTATATTAGACTTGTCCATTGGCAGATTGGACAAAAACAATCTAAAGATAGGGCACTCATGGTCTTTGACTTTCCTGTTTCATGTCTATTACAACTTTACCAGGCTTAGTAAGGCACGCGTCCCTTATATAAGAAATTGTTCTATTCAAAAAGCCATCTATAGGCTAAGGATGGTACGAAGTTTGATGAATTAATCTTGCAAGATTCATATAAGTTAGTGCATGACATTATCGCTTTAATCGACATATTTTTGACAATAATTATTTATTTATTTATTTTCAATTTTGATTCAAAACCGTGCCTTTTATATGGTATAAACAATACTGCTGAAAGTTAATTTGAGAACCGATATATTGTGTCTATTGAGTCAACAATAGATTCCACTGTTGAATTAGACCTTATTATCAATCCAATAACCACGTTGTATTAAATTAGACTTTTGATTGATCATATTTTACATCAATGGGGAGAACCCCACATTACATGAGTGTATCATAATAAGACCCAAGATTTATCTTTTCAGGACAATACAAATCTGACAACCTTGTTGATCGATCAATTGGAGTCAAGCGTAATTTTTAATACTTTTAAATACACATATCTCAAAAATGTATTAACCCCAAGAGCATGACCTTTCAACGGTAAGTAACTCTCCACTTTTTCTATAAAGATGAATAAATACCCAAAGGTAGGGAGGCCTTAAGTATGAACACCTCGGCTCCGTACTCCACACACACACTTTTGTTCATTTTTTAAGTTTTATATACTAGTCTAATCATGTATTAATAGCAATACTAACTTAGCTTTCCCTGACTCAACGCTGGGGTTCTCTTTCACCTCTCTCTAATTTTGTAACTCACCGACTGAATGACATTCGAATTTTAAGGGTGCACCTTTAACATGTCAGTAATTGTGCAAATTTTTGCTCGCATAATTTGGTGCTGTCCATGAGGAACGAAGCATGCGTGTCCCCTAAGTCTGCATTTCATCCAGCTCGTGAGCCCTGCCCAAGTTTAATACCACGGATGTATCTCGTTCCTGCACATCTGTCCAAACTTTAGAAGTTCGGCCTTTTTTGGAGTCGAGTTATAGCGCTCGGTCTTTCTTTCAAATCCATACAGATACAAAATATCACATATTGTTGTAAGGTCCCACCATGGAAGTCTTCACGTGAACCTTACCAAAATCCTTATTCATTCTTGAAGTTTGAGTATTCTATTATGATCAAGTATCCTATAGAAAATGGCTTTTTCTTCTATGTTATACAAAAGTGAGGTTTTTCTACTAGTTTGTCGCCTATACCAAAGCAGCAAGTGTATGCCCAAAATCTCTTTATCGCCCAGGCCGTGAGCCTTGTCCAAAACTGGAGCCAGTTATGTATATGAGTAATCCTATGTTTATATTGTTCTCTTGATACTCACACCGTTCGGTGTTTGATGTTTACTCAATGTTGTAAGAACATCTCTCTTATTTATCATGGAGTTCGGCCTCTCTCTCTGTCTCGTCTGTTTAAGTCCATTTCTTGTTAAAACTGAGCGTGCTCGTCATCGACAGCTATCAGAAAAATTGTAAACCAAAGAAGAGATGCTCAAGCAGCCTGAGCATCCGCTTATCAAATATCGGCCACACCATAGAGGACAATTGGCAGCGCTGTCAAACCGACGGAGATGGAGATCATAATGTCTCCATTTAGATATATCGGCATTGAGTGAGCATAGGAGCTGATCTGATATCACCCATTTTAATTGTTTATTGAGCTCGGGGAGTTTCTATTTTCTATGGATGGGTTTTGACAAACAATGATAGACGATTAGTTTCGCCGCGCACATGACAGCCGAGATCTAATACTCCAACTATTTGGTCCGTCTTTCGGCGTCAAACATTTGCTTATTCATCATGGTATACGGTCGGGCTCGTATATCTTGCGGACAGAGTTCACTCAGAGTTCCCCGAATATAGATATCTTGAATCATGAGGACTTTGGTGCCTACAGCCTCTCATCCAGATGGTGGCCCGACCATATTATTGTGCACTCAGCTATCCAAAAGACAGGATTCAAATTATCAAAAAATGGCTTTTACAAATCATGTATTGCTCTGCTTCGGCACTTCAACTGCTTGCACTCGGGGGGCGGTCGAGATCTCGCTATTTTATGTCCCTGTGCACAAAATTCAGCAAATACAGAGATAAGTGCCCTTCTCTCATATTTCAACCAAAGTTGGATAATCCTTTTTCCATTACCATGTGATGCATATAAGTATTCTCAATTATCTGTTCATAAGAATGTCTATACACGTCATAAATGGTTCGAAGTATACGGGCAATCTACCCAAAGCCATTATTGCTTTCATTGGCCTTAGAAATAAGCCAAGTGGACTCTCTCCCCTATCACTAGAACAGGTAAAATGCACTCGACACTCAGCATATGGCAGTGACCTAGCTCAGTCTCTATTGTCCTATCTCTTGTACAGCTCCCCCCACCCCCCCCCCCCCCCTCATGTCATCTTATGTGCATGAAACAAATAGCATACAAGTCTCTTGAAATGCAAGAGTAATACTAGATAATTTAAATTAGACTTAAAAACTAGAGTTGATAATCTCAACTATTGAATAGGTAGTGGGTCCCAATAAATGCTGGAACCCACAGTGAAATCAATAGTTGAAATTGAAATTATCAAATTTAATTTTTAAATGCATGTAGCATTGCTCAAAATGCAAATGTACTAGTTTTAGTCAAAGACAAGTCTCTTGACATAGCTCTTTTTATGAGGGCCAAGTGTTAGAGTTAAACTATCACAAATAGCAAACATCATGGAATTTTACTTGCTATGACTAACAGGAAGCAAAATTGTTTGTGCTCAAGTGTTACAGAGCTGATTTCCGAGTGCTGAACTCGACTACTGTCTCGTTCTCGTTGTTGTCGGGGGTATCCATGGTGCTCGGCAGTTCACTCTACCATTGATGCCGATTTCGTAAATCTCGTAGTATCTCTCTATTATATGGGTGGAGAGAAGTGGGTCAGTTGGGGACTTGAGGAAATGATACTTGACTTAGATTCAAAAGAGAGTTAACAGTCGGAGGATCGCTTGAACTTCTATTTGGTCCCAAGGAAGGGCATCATGTGTCAAGATTTAAGCTAAATCCGCAATCTCTGTGCTTCTAGCATGAGTGAAATGCAAACCCAGAAAAAGAATCTAGCTCGAGCTCACTTCTCGGATACCGCTATAAGCCACTTCAGAGGCCGAAGGGTGGTCTGACTATCACTATAAGATTGGCTCCACATATAATATCTCCAATAACTCAAAGAACCCGTCAATGGTAAGCACTGTCAAAAGCCATTCTGATAAGGCATGAAGCTTTTCTTCGGCATTTGTACTGAAATAAATCGGGACCGATCACTTCGTCAGTCTATCTTCACTTCGGGCTCGCCAACATTGGAAGTCTCAAAATACGACGCCTGCTCCATGTCCCCGAGGAAACAAAAGTGTTCGGTATCACTTAGATGGTGGTCGGAGCCATTGTAGCATTAACTGGCATCAATGCCAATAAAACCCAGTAGCATCATGGATGGTCGGCGTACCAATTCGGAGCTAATTGGAAACCAGCACATCCTGAGTCTAAACTCGTCCGAGAGCTCAGTTCGTGGTACCTAACTGCTCGGCATCATCAAGACATCTCGACCGTGAAAGTACCCGTATTTTGGCATGGCTTTAGGGAATTGTTCACAGTGGGGGGCATATCTCAAAAAGACACGTTCTCAGACAAAGGCCTCTTAGGCAGTCAGCATCACCTATGATCGAGAGAAGCAAAATCATTTCTAAAACTCAAGCAGTCTCTACAAGTGCTCGGCTTCACAGCAAACAGAGGTCAATCACCTGTGAATGCAAGTGATCGTTCCACCACTCAAAACAGTCGAGAAGTCATTTTGTGGTCCCTTCTTGCCGATTATCACCCTTTTCGACAAAGAAAAACAAAAACAGTGCCCAATTTTCAAGGGTATTCTCATTTGGGCATTTCATCAAACACCAAGAGTGCCCACGCTGTGGTTGCCACTCAGTCTCAGTGTAGAACTTATCACAGTAGTCGGTAGACTAACCAGACATGTTTGGCCCATCATCTATAGATGGTCGACGTCGTCCATGATTCTGTGGATGTTACCTCTTCCCATGGAGAATCGGCATTAGAATCAGAAGTTATAGGTGGTCAGCATACCCATTTCTAGCTCACTAGAGACTAGAATCTCCACTTCAAATTCCTCGAAATAAGGAAAAAGCTGGGTGATTAATTATTGGACTTCATTCTCAGCCCCTTTGGACGTTGCAATTACATCATGTGAGGCTTTCAAGAATCAGGAAGGGTATAGCTCTACTTGAGGGAAACTATAGCTCACAATCTTCTATGGTGAAAAGTGATCCAAGCTTTCTAAGCATTCTCACATGGCAACTAGAATGCCCAATGGGAAGAAGTCCAAACTAATCAAAAACATTGGAT